AGAGAGAGAGAGAGAGAGAGAGAGAGAGAGAGAGAGAGAGAGAGAGAGAGAGAGAGAGAGAGAGAGAAAGACAGACAGAGAGAGAGACAGACAGACACAGAGAGAGAGAGAGAGAGAGAGTGAGGAACAGACGAGTGTGGGATCAGGAACTTTCTTTTCTTTTCCTTTTATAAAATTTTGGTCTCAGGCGAAAGCCATCTTTCTTATCTCTAATTTTGTACGATGGTGCCGCTTGGTGTGCGACTCTATTCTCCTTTCTCCTTCCTTGTTGACGGGTGTGAGTTAAATGCCTCAGTTTGTTGGATGTGTGTGTCAATCTTTGAGAGCTTGTCTCACCAATGGGGATGCGCGTCGTCTTTGCATGAATGAGTTAGTATCTGATGAATGAATGTTCCACGATCTCATAAGAAACCTGATCATCAAGGAGTTGCGCAGTACTCTGGAAGGGAGGGGAGGGGGGGGGGAGGAATTTGTGAGGCTGGGAAACTAATCAGTCTTTCTGGTTGCTCTAAGTGGATCGGCTGGATGATGAACCCTTCGCAACTTTATCGATGCATGAATGAAGGGTTTACCGAGGGATTGCCTTATGTTATGCCCGAAAGTTGTTTTTCTTTTTGATCTGGTAGTTGCATGACGAACCTTTGGGGAACCACGGGGGCACCTGAAACGACCCATCAACGGGAAGCGTGATCTCTTGCACCCGCGTATAAGTACGATCGCAAAGACGCGTCTTCCACGTGCGTCCACGGGACTCGCCCCCAAGGGCCTATAATGAAAACAACCCTTTTTTTACCGGTATGGACGTTGAGATTCCCTTTTACGTCACGGATCGCGAGAGTCTGAGGCATCAACGATTCCGGGAATGTTGGGAACGGGAGCGTGCCTATCAAGCCGCGCGACCCCGGTCCCACCTCCCCGAGCTCCCTTTCTACGTGGGAACGGAGCGCGTATGGGAATGGGATATTGAATGGGCCTTAAGCGCGATACCCTTCCCACCACGATTTCCCCACTCGCACACACGACACGTCATCGTCGAGCCAAGAATCGCCATCATCGAGACCAATTATCCTCCTCCCCGCCTCGTAATCCCCTTTCACTGTCTAACAACGGTCCCTTGGTGCGCGATCAGCCCCTACTGGTCGCGGACCCCGTGCTCGGAGTGCCAGCAAGATCATATTTACCGCACAGTGGGATTCGTCCGCCGAACCCGAACTAAGGTGGACCAGCGATCGCACAGTCTTCGACTGAGACCAGCCTCGTCATATTCCGAAGTCTGCTATGAGCGACGCCGATGGATAACCAGCCAACGCGACACTCGTAGCGTCCCGAAGGTCCATCAGATCCGAGATCGACCACGACGGCGATACTCACACCAACGGTAGCCTTGAGTCTTGAAGCCCAAGCTACCGATGCAACTCGGGATTACCATCTTGCTCAATTACCCTTGAACTGGCCACAGGAGATCTGAGTTCCGACCTTGGACTCCACTACAATTTCCTAAAATCCTTGGCACACCCCTCTTTCGCACTTTCAGGTCCCCATCCCACTCCAATCAGGAAGTCGTGCTGAGCGTGAGGTTACGGCGTTATAGTGCGTCAATCTAACGCCCTGCCGGTGTCCATGCGCAAGGTTGCAATTGAGTTTTGAACCCGCAACCTCATACCACAATGCGCATTTCCAACCAGTGCTCTAACCACTGAGCCACATCAACTGGACCGTTCTGTTCGCAGCCCATCAGGGATGCGTTTTCCCCCCCTGAGACATTCAACGTTCAACGTCAATTTCAACGTCAGTGGTCGTCAGGAGGGTGGGCATTTGAGGTTTTGGGGCCTTGCAAGGGCCAGGAACGTGTAGGACCGGTAGCTGCGAGTAGGAGGCCAAGGAGGCCGCAATCCTTTTTTGAAATTGAAACGGTGCGGGTAGTCCTTTTTCGAAATTGAAACGGTGCGGGTAGTCCTTTTTCGAAATTGAAATGGTGCAGGTCCTACACGTTGTATTCGAATACAATCTGTACCCTTTCTATTCGGATTTCGAAAAGAAAAACCTCTTGTATTCCGATAAAATTACTTCTTCTTTTTGTTGGAGGTCAGCGCCTGCCCTTGTGCTCCCCGCCACTGACATGCTGCATGCTGCA